ACTTAAAATGTCTTCTGTTGTCACTTGGTAAACTGAAAAACGATTATTGGTACTAGCCTTTAAAATTAGTTCAGCATTATCCTCTGGCGTATATATACGGTCAACTTGCCTCAACGAACGATTTATAGTACTAAAGTCTCGATCACAGGCTGAGTAGGAATGTCTTTGAAATGGAAAGTTGTAAATGATCCTTGAAAAATTCTTCCTATCACATAAGTTTAACAAAAAACGCACGACTGTGTGATTTTTGTTTTGACCAGATGGGCTGAAAAGTATTAGATGTTTCACAGTACTTGGTCTTTCTTTCTCTATATAATTTTGTAAGAAACTATATATCTCATCTGGTGATTTGTTGGGCTCTCCTTCATGATAAATGTAAATTTTAGACTTGTTTGTTTTCATGTCATGTATACTAAAAGCATTCACCCACAGTTTGCGCATATAAAATATTTCTTGAACTGGTATATTAAGCAGAGGCAAATTTTGTATATAATCAAAACATAATACACAAGTGTCATCATCTTTGTTAGCAGCCGCAGACTCCATGATAGTATAAAACTTTTTCGCTCTTCTCTTGTGAACTAAGAGTTCAGCAGCCGCAGCGCGTTTAGCGTTATCATTTAAACATTTATCTTTTAACTTAGAGTTAAAATTTTTGCAAGTACTACACACATCTACCTGAGGCCGGCCAAAAGAATATTCAAAGTTTTCTTTAAAATTGTTAAAGAAAAATTTGTATTTAACTTCATCTTATAGGTCCTGATTGTCAATGATAAACATGTCGTACATTTTCTTAATAGTTAACCGAGTATCTAAGTACTTTTTAGGTTTTCCACTATAGTGTGTCTCTTTCTCTTCAAATTTAGATAAGTGATTATGAATGCGTACCGATATCTTTTCAGGTTTGGCGTTACCACTCCTGCTCTTGCCCCTTTTATCAGTCGGAATTTTATTTTGAAGCAGCAAATGACAAATCCCCTCTAACCTATCGCGTGAAATTCCATGAAGTTCCATAAAAACACTTTTGCATACAGGTTTTAATATACCATTTACCTTAAGATTGTACAAGTGTGAGTGATTCCTCTTGAAAGGTAGATGTTTTTATTTTATAGGGATGTTTTTATTTTATAGGGATGTTTTTATTTTATAGGGAATAAAAATTATCCCATGTTTGGTCTATTACTAGTTTGTTAATGATTGAAGAGCATTTAAAATTACATTTACATAAAATACCCAGTGGTTTAATGTTGCTGAAAATTTGCTTATTGTTGTAATTTTTATAGGCCTCACCTTTCACTCTGGCATTACGTATTTTATTGCGTTGGCATTTTTCCTCATAAACCACTCCACGTCTCCGTTTAAGTTAACGTTCTTCTGTACTAGACTTTATTTTTCATCTAATAAAGATTATTAAAAATAAATATAATATTACAAAACATTAAATCACTAACACGTCTTTTAGCGCACTTTTGATCAAGTAATATCAGATAATTGTATTGTCAAAGATAATATCAACAACAAACACATGTTAAAACAATATTAAATGAAAAAGAATACGGAATTCTAGCTCGATTAATAATAAATACAATTTATAAATACATCAGAATACAAATTCCCACAGTTTATTGCAGAAAGCCAATAAGCACCATCACTTGACGGGCTTCTGCACTTAACACACTATTTGACCATAAATTTAATAGCTATGGATACTCGGTACTTGATGGGTTTCTGCACAAAACAATGTGTCTATCTTTAAAGAATAATAAATTGAACCTTACTCATTTTTTTTAATTTTGGCGTTTGACGGGTTTCTGAAATAATCGATTCTTTAACACATGTTGTGCAAAGACTGATTGCAGATAGAACTTTTGCTCTGTATACTTTAGTAAAAAATCTATAATAATTATGTCACAGAAGCATTACACAAATGATTAACCTGCAAACATAATATAGAACTACTTTTAGAACTCTTTCCTTCATTAGTTTATATGTTGAAGGTGTTTCGGACTTTGTTATTGAATATTGCAACAAAAAAGTAGAAAATGCAGTAAAAAAGAATACTCTTATGCTAAGATTTACCTATTTTTGAAGTATAAATATGCAAATATATGCATTTAAACAGTTTATGCAAATATATGCACTAATAAAGTTAAAATATGCATACTTGCAATATAACAAGCAGGTCTTTAAACACTTATTTTTTTATATTACTTGCAAAGATTTTTACTACAAAAAAATATTTGCATATTTCAGTAAACAAAAAAAAAAAAAAAAATATATATATATATATATATATATATATATAAATAAAAATATATATATATATGTATATATATATATATATGTATATATATATATATAAATATATATATATATATATATATATATATATATATATATATATATATATATATATATATATATATATATATATATATATATATATATATATATATATATATATATATATATATATATATATATATATATATATATATATATATATATATATATATATATATATATATATATATATATACAGTATCGGGTAAAACAAGTGCAACTAAATATTGCTAATTCAGTTTCTTTATATAAAAGTGCGGCATTTTTTCATTTTAGAGAAACGACTATTTAACTGTTTAGAGATAACGTTTTTTATTATTATGTACACGAAAATTAATAAATTAATCAAAAGTATAAAAAAAAATTGCTTTCCTTCTGGACAAAAGAAGTGCAACTCCATGCACATTCCAGTCTATATGAGATGTAGCAAACAGGAGTCTTTTCTTCTGGTTTTTTTAGTGAAATCAGCGGTTTCTTTGCAGATGGTCAAGAAAACAATCCGGCTTTAACAGCACGTCCTCTGATTCTTCGGTCCGATACAGGCAGCTCTAATTGCTTTTGTATCATAACTGATGATATCCAAGGATCCTTCTTGACGGATCTGACGATCATAGGATCCTCTCTAGAAGTGGTGGAACGTGGTCTTTCACTTTTTGTTATCTGCTGCCAACTGCCAAGAACGGTATTTGGAACAATGTCTTGATACGGTCCATATTTTTCACAAATACTTTCTTTATTAGTTCCATTCCAACACTGTAGAGAGCCATTTTTGCACTTGAAGTCATAAATATAATAAAAACAAAGAATCGCCTCTCAAGGCTTACCGTGTTACATTTACCTTTTGATGATACAATAATGCTCTGTGGAACACAACGTCTTGGTTGGATGTGGACTGTAGTGATGTAATGAAGCACTTGTTATATTTCACTTCTTGTATTGATGTTCTTCTATAAAATACTTTGATAAAACTTACTTCGATAAACTGTCTCGATAATACTGACTGATTGATTTCCTTACACTAACTGAATTACATTTCGGTTTACATGTCTCTTATATGAATGAACCTGTTTGAACATGTTCTGGAAGATTCTAGATGCTTCTTTTTGATGTTTCTAGAAGCTTCTGGATGGTCTAAATGCTTCTGAATGTTTCTGGATACTTCTGGATGCTTCTAGATGCTTCCCGATACTACTTCTGGAAACTTCTGGAAGTTTCTGCGTGCTTCTTGAAACTTCTAGATACTTCCTTTAATTATTAAAAAACTTCCGTTACATTAACACGGGCAAGACTTAAGAAAATGAAACAAACCAAAAAAGTATAACCTGTTTTGTCCGCTGCAAAATGGCACTTGTCAAGGAAATTCTGCCTGTGTGCTGTCACCAGTCAGCTGATTGCTCATGTCATGCTATGACTCCAGACTTCTTCACTGTTTGCTGTGGTAGTACAGTTTGTTTCATTTTTAAGACATGTAAAATTAGGAACACTTTTTAGCATTGTTCGATGTTGGTTGCAAATGTTTTGTCCAATACTGTATATATATATATATATATATATATATATATATATATATATATATATATATATATATATATATATATATATATAGAGAGAGAGAGAGAGAGAGAGAGAGAGAGAGAGAGGGAGAGAGAGAGAGAGAGAGAGAGAGAGAGAGAGAGAGAGAGAGAAAGAGAGAGAGAGAGAGTAAATAGTCATAACAGTAAAAACAAGTTTTTATATTGAAAAAAGTTGAAGCAGTGACCAGAAAAATATCAAAAATATAAAACATATTTATCTAAAATTAAAAAAAAAATATTTAAATCCTACTTTCAGATTTAATGAAAATTGATTTCAAATAAATAATCAAACCTATGAGTTACACGAAAAAGTTCTTAATTGAAAATTAAGTTTAAGTACTCTAAGATATTTTTTATTCTTTTTTTATATATATTTTTGTGAAATTTTTGTAATAACATACTGATCTATATTAAAAATAAGGCTAAAACAATAAGAAATCAAATAACAAATAGGCTGTTGCCATATAAAGTATACTCTGTAGTTAAGAAATGTAGCCGTCTTAAAAGTTCAAAAGTTTTTTGCAATTTCTCACGCATGCGTACCTAAACATGTTGCTTTTTTAAACGACCGTGAAATAGCGCTTACATCTAAAATAATTGTTCTTCAACTTTTTTACTAAATCGTCAAAGAGATTTTTTTATAAAATTAATTACTTCTCTTATTACTGCATAGTATCGTAATTTAAAAGTTAAAAAAATAGTTGTTTTATGGAAATTGCTCTAAGCGTACGTAAATCGTACGCAAATTGCCGGCAGCTTAACGCTTTAAAACAAGGCCTGATATATATATACATATATATATATATATATATATATATATATATATATATATATATATATATATTATATATATATATATATATATATATATATATATATATATATATATATATATATATATATATATATATATATATATATATATATATATATATATATATATATATATATATATATATATATATATATATATATATATATATATATATAATATATAAATAAAAATATTTTGTAAATTTGCATAGCAAAATTATTTTCAGTTATAGTTGATAATGTAAGAAATGTTTTTATTTTTTTAGGAACATGGCGCAAAGTATTAAGAAAATAAAAAACATCTTTTTTAAAGAAGGTGGAACACCTGTGACGACGCCAGTAAAAACGCCTATTCACAAAGGAACATGTTTTGCTACATCTATGCTTTCTGTAAGTAATATAAACTAAAATAGAATAAAAGTCAATACAGTTATTTGCTCTTTTTATATTTACATCAAACCTCAAGTTGCAGAAAACTGTATGTGCTATAACTGAGTTAATATTATCAGTAAATATAGTTAATATAATCAGTAAAAATAGATCACTAAATTCTTTTAGCGTTAATTTAATATTGTTATTGCAATACTTAATAATTACATTGCTGAAAAAAGACTTAATTGACTGTTTTATCATGTTTTTTGGGCACTTTAAAGCTTTAAGTTTCTATTTCTAGTATTGTACCTGATGCTATCAAGGTTAATAAAATCAAATTTTTTGAATAAGTTTATTGGTTACAAGTAAAAAATTATTTATTTGCATAGCTGGTCTGCATAAAAATGTATGATGAAAACTTTGTAGGTTGTATGTTTTAAGTTGTTAATTTATTTGAAATGTATCTTTGATTTGAATATTAATTTTGATTAATATAAATAAAATCATATTGCATGCATTGCTAAAGTTTTTTATTTCTTTTGTCGTGTAGTAAATTATAAAACTTGAGCAGTAGTCAAAGTTAGGTAGAATAAATGTTTTGAAGAATTGTTAACAATTTTTAAAGGCTAGACCATATTATTAATATAACCATGTATTAGTCAGTGAGAATAATTTTGAATATGCTTTTGATTTATCTCCTTTATGTGCTCAGTTAAATGTAATTTGACTTTTATAATGACGCAGAGCAAAAAAAAATTATTTGTTAATTTATTAAATTTATTAATTTTAATTTTGAACTTATTACTTAAAGGTGCTATTCTAGACCTTTTTTGACAAAGTTGACCATATTTGGGTGCCTCTCAAATTAAAATTTGCGGACCTTTATTTATCATTTATGTTTTGTAAGACAAATAATGTTTTTCCTAAATTTCTGCAGGACAGGAAGTGGGAAAGATTTTTGTTATTAGATGGTTTATATTTGTATTACTTGTCATAAGCGTTGTGTCAACTGCAAATAACGTTGATTCAAATAATGACAGATATTCAAGTATCATTGATGAAAAAAAAAAAAAAAAAGAGGTTCAAAAATCGAACCCTGTGGTATACCAATATTAACTTGTTCTTCGTTAGAATATGGATCTTTAACTTTTGTAAATGTTTTTTTGTAAATAATTTTTTTTTATGAAAAAAGTTGCTTTTTATTAACTTCAATAATGATACTTGTTATATTATGATAAATAAATAACATTAACGTTTATAACCTTATAACCCCAGTAGATAAAAACTTAAACCCCCCAATTTATAACACAATTTATATATAAAAACAAAGAAATCAAGCAAAATGTTTTGTAATTTTTAAATTGAACTTATAAAAACAATTTATAAAAGGTTTTAAATACAAAATAAATGACACTAAACATTTTAAGAAATTTGATTGTATAAACAAATTTCTGAAATTGTTTTGATATTTTAAGAAATAAATATTAAAATATTTTAAGAAATAAAATATAAACAAATTTCTTAAAATATCTTTTTTTTTACATTGCCTGGAACATGAAACCAATACAGTTTTATACCAATGTCATTTACTTTGATAAAAATAGGAAGGGTTACATTTGATGGTGTTCACATTAATGTAAATATTTCTACCTGCAGAGTTAATATTATTAAAACTTCAAGGTAAACACCAGGAACATATGTGGCCTGCATTTATGTTGCCCAATGTTATTTAGGAAATATTTTTCTTTATTTAAAAATAAGTGACCATGCAGAGATGATCTCTGTTGGATGCACCTAATGCATAGTTGATGCAAAGTTCAAACTCCTAATATCCAATCTAACAGAGGAATATTTTATATTATTGGCTTTAAAACCTATAAAATTAGTTTATTATTTGAGAATTTTTTTTATAAATTTTTATCATTTTGCTTATTGTCTTACAAACTTTAAATAGCCTTTGTAACTAAAAAAAATAAAAACTGTAATTTCAACATATACAATATATATATATATATATATATATATATATATATATATATATATATATATATATATATATATATATATATATATATATAATATATATATATATATATATATATATATATATATATATATATATATATATATATATATATATATATATATATATTTATATATATATAAGTATATATATATATATATATATATATATATATATATATATATATATGTATATACAGTATCTCTCTTCCAAATTGAAGTTTGTAATATGTGTTTCTATAGAAAATTTATCAACAAAAATAATATTCTTTTGACATCTTGAACACACCCGCTATACATTTTGCTTGATGTGTCAATAGGATTGTTAAGTGACTGTAGACGAGCTTGTGCAACAAGGCATTTTAAACGTTCCACCGACTACATTGCAACGACTTATATCATGTAATGCAGTAATCTCAAAATCTTGTTTATAGTAGCATAAGTTGATAATGTTTTTGTAATTATTACTTTTTTTTTTTTTTTTTTTTTTTTTTTTTTTTTTGTCGTTTTACACATTTTACAATGTTATCTTTAAATTCGAATAAATATATATATAATTACAAGCTGACAGGGGCAAGTAGAAGACATAAAGTCTTATCATCAAGCCCTTTTGTGAAATAGAGAAATATAAAATTTCTAAAATTCCAATAATATAACAAAGAGTTAAATTAAAAATACATTATGATGCAGCATTACATTATGATGCAGCATTGTCACTAAAACAGATGTGTTCAAATATTTGTAATTGGTTAAGTTTATCGATAGTGATATTGATAAAACAATGAACACAACTGTTCCATGTTTCAGATGATCTGGTAAAACACAATAACTTTGACTATCGAGTTTTTCATTTTTTCATAAATCAACAATAAAGGAGTGCATCCTGTATTAGAAAAAAATATAGCTTTTAAGAGAAGCTAAAGCTTATTTATTTATTTTAAATTAGTTTTTAAGTGTTGGAATTAGGTGGCTTGAATTTTCGGTATAAAACAATGCACTCCCAAATTATGTAACTGTTTATAAACGATTTTGATAAATTCATGTTTTCTGGTGCTAAGGTGCATTGGAAATATTTTGCCTTTAACAAAAACTACTTTTAATAATTTCATTTTCATTAAACAAATTGCAATCAGACAAAGTAATCAGACAAAACCATTTCTGACATTTATCACAACTATGCAGCATACAATTTCTATTTTCAATGGTACAAATCATTAATTTTAATAACCTTTTGTAATCAGTTATTACTGAAATTTTCTCTACAAGAAGCCTTACATTCTAATGGTTCTGACAAACACAAGCTGTATGCAGACCAGCAGCAGCACCCATAGAAATGCATTACAATGCACTCATAGAAATGCATTACATGGGTCTTAGCTCACAAATATTTGAAAAAGCAACTTTAGGAAAATCATTTATTGTTTTTAAATTCAATATGAAATTCTTTTAAAATGAATGATAGAAGTCGTTTTGGGATATCTGGCTTGGCCAGGAAGACGTGCAATTTCACGTCATAACATGACCACACAAATTCTCTGTGATTTTGAAAGTTTGATGATGGTTGTTTATATGTTTTGAAAGTTTGTATGCATTTTAAAAATGTGATTAAAAAATTATTTTAACTTACGTATGAAGAAAATTAAAAAAGAACTTATTTTAAAAGAAGCAAAAAAAAAATTGTAAAAAAAATAACGAAAAATAACTAAAACAAAATTTAAAAAACTAAAACTTAACCAAAATAAATATTAAACTATAATAATAAGATTATCTATATTACCTTTGGAATAAATAACTTTAAAAAATTTATCTTTTTTTATGTTTTTGTAAAATGATATTATGTTGAAAGCATCATAACAATTCTTTGCAGTACCGTAAACGTTAACAAAACAAAAAATAATTAAATCGTTTATTTACAAAATTGATGTAATTTTTATTGTATTCAAAGACATTTATATAAATATTTAAATATGATATATATATATATATATATATATACATATATATATATATATATATATATATATATATATATATATATATATATATATATATATATATATATACACACACACACACATATATATATATATATATATATATATATGTATATATATATATATATATATATACATATATATATATATATATATACACACACACATATATATACACACACACAACACACACACACACACACACACACACACACACACACACACACACACACACACACACACACACACACACACACACACACACACATATATATATATATATATATATATATATATATATATATATATATATATATATATATATATATATATATAATACTTTTATTAAAAATTATTAGCAATGGTTTGTTACTTTATTTAAATGCATTTCAATAAAATTTAATATAAAAGTTATTTAATTCAAACTGCTTTCAAAAAAGTTTTTCTTTTTTATTTGTCTTAACAAAATATTTTTACTTTTAAAGTTATTTAACTTTAATGATTCTTATATGAATTTTATTAATAAAGTTTATTTTATGACTGACGCTTTTAAAGTCGTCACTTATAAAATTAAACTTTTCTTTAATAATTTTTACCTTTTTAAATTTACATATAATAAAAATCTTATATAATTAATTAATATAAACAAAAATTTATACTGCTTTTAAAGATACTTTAATTAAAATCATTAGCTACTTAAGCACTAAAAGTGTTTAGCTAATATAAAAATGTTAGTCTGTTAGTCTGTTAGTCAAAAGTTCGAAAAAACAAGTTTCAAAAAATTACTACTTTATTTTTATTAATGTCATCTCCATTTACAAATTGTGTTAGAAAAGATTCGCAGTGTCTCACGAAGTTTGAAAGATAATGATAAGTAACGTGCTCACAACCGTTCCTCATTCGTTCTAACAAATCGTTACTTCCAATCGGAGCTATTTGTCCTCTTGTAGTATTCTTAATTTTCGAGAATGTCTTTTCACAAGGATTAAGAAAAGGTGAGCA